TAATTCAAAATGCAGTTGTCCATAGCAGTTTTGTGTTTTTTGACTCTCTGGTGTAGTGTTAATGCAAGATGTGTGATGCGTGGCGAATGTGATGGTTTAGATGGAAAAATAAAGCCATGCAATGCAGATACAGAAGCATTACCAATAATTACAGATGTAGAAGATGAAGATGTTGAAAATGTAATATCAACATTTGAAAGAATTTGCCCCACATTTGTTATCGACGATGAAGGAAACAGAATACCAGACGATGAGATTTATACATGCTGCTCATCACAGCAAGTGTTCAGTATGGCAGAAAGTTTAACACTAGCTGAAAGTATTCTCGGTCGGTGTCCAACTTGTTTTAGAAATTTTGCAAGGCAAATTTGCGAAATGAACTGTGCAACCGATCAGTCTCGTTTCGTGGAAGTTAAGACCGAGGAAGGTGCAGACAATCAGGTATACGTCAACGAAATAAACTATAGACTTCATGAAGACTTTATGTTGGGAACTCATTCTTCCTGCTCTGATGTCATCGTGCCACAGACAGGTACATATGCTCTAACCATGATGTGTGGTAGTGCAGTAAATTGCACAGCAGAAGCTTGGTTTTCATTCACTGGAGATACACAAGCAAATCCTATAACACCGGTACAAGTAAATTTTATTATGACATCTGATAACGAAACTTCAATGCACAAAGAAGACTTACCTTGTAATGAAACTTACGAGGGTGATATTCCGTGTAGTTGTATGGACTGAATAAGTACATGTCCAGATAGTAAACCTTACGTTCCGGATATATGCAATGTGTTAACACTTACTTGTGTTGGATTTTCTATCGGGATAGGATTCTTTGGTATCACTGTAATAATATTTATTATATTAACATGTGTGCAATTTAAAAAACAGAAAAAAGAACCAATAACTAAAGAAAGTACGTCTGGGCCGAATAAGATGACCAAGATGTTTCAAGTACTATTCGCGAAGATTGGAGGAATGTCCGCGAGCAATCCTGTTTTAATAATAATGATTACATCTTGGGTTGTGTATGCAATGATATGGGGTGTAATAAATCTGAATTTAACTTCAAATCCAATAGAACTTTGGTCGGCACCTGATTCTCGAAGCCGTCAGGAATTGAATTTTTTCAACGAAAGATTTGGTCCATTTTATCGCACGGCGCAAGTGTTCTTAACTTTTCATTCGGATCCCTTCAACGTTACTACTGAGGATGGTGAGCAGTGGTACGGCCCTGCATTTCACTTAGAATCAATACAGGAATTAGTTAAACTGGAAAATAAAATTAAAAATATAAACAGTGAGGGAGGCGGAGTTACTTTAGCTGATGTATGCTATGCTCCACTTCAAGCACAAGATTCTCCTAAAGATATTAATCTCTGTGTGTCTATGTCTGCTACCTCTTATTTAAGCAACACAAATACAATTAATAATGCTACTTATCTTAGCGAGATTCAGAGTTGTATAAACAATCACTACGGATTTGGTTGTTTAGCTCCATGGGGTGGCGGAGCTGAACCTGATTTAGCTTTTGGGGGTTTCGAACCTGGTGATATTCTAAGTGCCAATACTCTTCTTATTAATTTTCCGATATCGAACTTTCTTTTGAACGAAGATCTAGAACCAGTATTAGAATGGGAGCAAAAATTTTTAGACCTTTTACATGAGTATAAAAATAATGTTGATCCAGCGTTTGTTTCTGTGACTTATTCAGCAGAGAGATCAGTAGAAGATGAGATTCAACGTGTTTCCGTTGCGGAAGCTGTACCAATTGCCATAAGTTATATTCTCATGTTTATTTATGTGACAATATCTTTAGGAAATGTAAGATCTTGCAAAACTCGGTTTATCGACAGCAAGGTAATGGTGGCCCTGGGTAGTATAGTTACCGTAATCGTAGCAATTGTGTGCGCGATGGGTGTAATGGGTTATGCCCAGATAACATTAACACTACTAGCGATTAATGTAATTCCATTCTTCATTTTATCTATAGGAATTGATAATGTCTTTCTTATGGTAAACACGCTTCATGACATTCAAAGTAACTTAAAATCATTTGATGATTACAAAGAAGACTGGAGTTTCGAAAAAAGGAGAAGATATGTCTTAGAAAAAATGTTGGAAAGCGTCGGTCCTTCAATGTTTGTGTCATCGGTTACACAAATAACTTGTTTTGCTATTGGCAGTCTTGCTAACTTCCCTGCTGTAGTAACATTTGCTATATTTGCAACATTTTCCTTAGGATTTCTGTTCGTTTTTCAAATAACTACTATCGTGGCATTACTTTCTCTAGACTATAAAAGAACTAGTCAAAATAGGTTAGACATATTCTGTTGTGTTCAGAAAAAAATATTGGATGATGAAAATCCCCTGCATTCTGAAACTCCTTATAAAGGCGTTACTCAAAAACTGATGGTGCCATATTCAAAATTTATACTTGACTGGCGCGTTAAAGTTGTCGTAGCTATTTTATTTATGGCTTTGGTTTCCGTCAACGTAATGTTTGTTCCGGATCTTGAAATAGGTTTAGATCAAGAAATGGCGCTTCCTTCAGACTCATACGTGTACCACTACTTGCAAGCACTAGCTAAATATATCCGCATGGGACCACCAGTATACTTTGTTGTTAAAGGAGGTTTGAATTACACTAATCCTAATCATCAAAACGTTATTTGTGGAGGGCAGATGTGTCAAAAAGATTCTATGAACAAACAAATATTCTTAGCCACTCTACATAGTGATATTACATATATTTCAAAACCATCGAATTCCTGGTTAGACGATTTTATCGATTGGTCCGGTTTATACGGAGTTTGCTGTCAATATAATACTTCAAGTTATGGATTCTGTGCCAGCGGGGATAATTCAGAGGACTGTAGACACTGAAATATTACACGGTCTGAATACGATAATGGTAGATTGAGGCCTGAACCGGAAGCATTCGAAAAGTATATTCCTTTTTTCTTGCAAGACCCACCCACTGAGATCTGCAATAAAGCTGGTTTAGCTAGTTATTCAGCAGCAGTCAACTATATACTGGATTCGGAAGGTCGAGCAAATATCCAAGATACGAATTTTATGGCATACCTTTCCCCGCTAAGTACTTCCAAAGACTATATAACTGCCATTGAAACCAGTTACAGAGTCAGTGCTGAGATAATGGCTGCTATTAAAAAGCAAACAGGTCTAGATATAGAGGTGTTCCCATATTCTATTTTCTATGTATTTTATGAACAATATTTAACAATGTGGGCTGATACATTTGTGGCCATCGGGTATTGCCTTCTTGGTGCTTTGTTTTTTAATCTTGTAGCTTCTGGTTTCAACATTTTAACAACATTAGCAGTAATATTTAAAGTAATTTTGGTTAATGTAAATATGATGGGAATCATGTACATTTGGAATATTCCTCTGAACGCTGTATCTTGTGTTAATTTGATTGTATCTATCGGCATTGCCGTGGAATTTTGTAGTCACATTTCTTACGCTTATTCTACCAGTCAACGTCAGGGCGATGAAAAAATAGCAGAAGCCATTCAGAAAGTAGGAGCCACAATAATTACTGGAATTACATTTACTAACATTCCTATCATAGTGTTGGCCTTTTCGTATACTGAAATTATCGAAGTATTTTTCTTTAGGATGTTCTTGAGCTTAGTTATCCTTGGTTTCTTACACGGAATGGTATTCTT